TGATCCATTTTGGGGTTTTCTTGGCTCCGAAAACTGACTCGGGAACGCGCGGGAACACGCTGAAAACTCCAGATTTTGTGTACATTTGGGGTCAAGGCCGGTTAGAACCAAATCGCGCAGGCCTGAGGACGACTGCCTGTAGGGAGCTCTGCCGCGAGGGTGGTTGAGCGTCACGTCGAACATAGCCTGATTCGAGACGCGTATCGCAACCCTTGCCAACCAACAGCAGATATACACATGCATGCATACATATACATCGCAGATACACATACACACATTTTGTATATGCTTAGTCATATATTAGATATATGCATATATACATATGTGTATATAGGTGTAGGTTTGTGTGCATGCAAGCATTCTATACTTGTGCGTATGCGCCTATATGTCTGTCTGTATGCCTACCTGTCTGTCTGTCTGTCTGTCTGTCTGTCTGTCTGTCTGTCTGCCTGTCGGTCTGTCTGTCTGTCTGCCTGTCTGTCTGTCTGTCTGTCTGTCTGTCTGTCTATACATAATATATCCACATGTTGCGCGGCTATCGACTACAGTCAGGCTGCGATGCGAGCGACTGCTGGCCAGAGCGTTCAGCGGAGAGCCACGAGGCGAGCCACACCTTCCCCCCGTAATGGTCTTTCATCTTCGCTCTCTGAACGGACCACGGAGAGGGTCTTGAGGATGCCGCAAGCTTAGAGTCAATGTTTTGGCGCCCTGGAGCAGGGACGCCCATTCGCTCAGAATCCAAATTTGTGGCCTCTGGAACCTGCTTCTGGGAAAAGCCCTAAATATTTAAATGAATGTTGCCCCCCCAAAAGCAAGGGATTGATTCGCAGAAGGTCGCCACAAGCTCAGAATCAACATGTGGGGGGCGTGCCTTGCAGGATCCCAAGTTGAAAGTCCATGCTTGAACGCCCTGGACGCCGCCAGCCTGCGGAGCCTGCCCCCCCTGGGGCCTGCCCCGTTGTGGGCCCCCCTGCAGGCAGGGGGCGCCACAAGCTGCAAGCCCACACTGGGCTTCGAGGGAATCTGTTTCGGGACGTGCCTGGCGGGAGACCTAAATGGGACACAAGCTACACCTCTAGAAACAACATTGCGAAGGTCTTACGGCTGGTGCCGCGACGGCGTCGGCGACGACGACGACGACGACGGCGACGAAGACGACGACGACGACGACGACGACGACGACGACGACGACGACGACGATGACGACGACGACGACGACGACGACGACGACGACGACGACGACGACGACGACGACGATGACGACGACGACGACGAGAAGTCGAGGCCGCGAGCAACACAGAAAGGCCCAGTGAGAATCAGTGAGTTTCGCCTCTTGGGGCCTCTTGGGGGTCCTTTCAGGGCCCACTTGGGGCGTTTTGAAGGTTGCGGAAACCGTTCTGAACACACCTCGGGCTGGCTTGGAGCGGTCTTGGGCTGTTTCAGGGCCCTCTTGGCGCAAGCCGCGGTGCAGGTGAGCTCGAGGCGCCTGGGAGGCAAGAGTTCGCAGGGGGGAACCTTCTGTCCCACTGGGCTTCTGTGGGCCACCCTTGAGGCCGCGCAGGAGGGCATCACGGGTGAGCCTCCTCCGCTGCCCTGCCCCGCGCGGGCAGTGCCCCCCTCGCGGGGCGAGGCGCCGTCCCGGCCGCGAAGCGCTGTCCCGGGGCCGAGGCGGCGCACCTGCGGCGCCCCCCCGGCCGCGCGAGACCCCCGCGCGCGCGGGCGTGTGCCCAGGCCGCGCACGGAGGCGCCACCCCCCAGTCGCGGAGGGAGGCCCCCTCCCCCCCCCCAGGAGTCGCGGAGCGGGGCCCCCGACGATGCGATTCGTGCAGGAGTCCAGTCGTGCCGCCAGGCGTCGCCCCCGTCGCAGAGGGAGGCCCCCCCCCCCCCAGCAGCGGAGTCGCGGAGCGAGGCCCCCGCGCCCCCGCGCGCGCTGCGAGCCCAGTCGCGCAGCGGGGCTTCGCGGCAGCCGCAGAACTTCCGCCGCGGAGCGAAGCCGCCACCGATACGACGCGTGCCACTCTCCCTCTCATGGCGGGGGCCGCGCGGGGAGTCGAGGCGAGGAGGGGGATCCTTGTCGGGCGCAGGAGGGGCAGGTGGTGGTGGCGGGGTGCGGTTGAGGTGTGGGCAGCGCGCAACTTCTTGGTGCGCTCTCTCTCTCTCTCTCTCTCTCTCTCCCGCTCTCTTCGTCAGTCAGTCAGTCAGTCAGCCCTTTCTTCTTTCTTCTTCTCTTTCTCTCTCGGTGTCTTCCGCTCTCTCTCGCTCTCTCTCTCTCTCTCTGACAATGTCGGACTGGACGTATCGCACTCGACTTGCCGTCAACCCGTCTTGGATTCCCAATCTTTCGCAACTGCTCTCGCGATGCGGCTGAGCGGCGCACGTACCATCTTCTCCCTGTTGTCCCAGCCCTCGCTGCTTCGACTTGAGAGGCAGGCCCATGGATTGCGCCGGCAGGTTGCGGGATGGGCAGGTACCCGTTTTAAGGGACGACGACGAAGAGGAAACATGTTATTGAAACCGTCGCCAAGTTTGAAGCTTCAGAGTTATACATGGTGAGGAAGTCTCAGGCGAAACACCCGGCCCGCCCTAAAAATTGGCCTCGGGGTGCGACAGGGAGAAGTTAGTCATAAGGAGAAGGAGTGGAGGAGGAGGAGGAGGAGGAGGAGGAGGAACCGGAGGAGGAGGAGGAGGAGGAGGAGGAGGAGGACCAGTGTAAACCCAATAATCATCAACGATGTTGGAATACACCCTCCCTCCAAACTCCCTCTTCATAGGCCTCTACAAAGGTTCATTCCCACTGAGGGAACTGCCTCATTGGAAGACAACCGTTTGAAGACCTCGATGCATGCCAAAACATCGTTCTCGGGAGTCCACCGCCACGGATCAACCTGACTGTTGCATCTTGGCAATCCTGAAACGTGTCAGAACACCGTTTCTGGGATGTCAACACAGCCAATGAACATACCTGTTGCGCCCGCGTAATCCTAGATCCTTTCAGAACACCACTTCTGACACGTTGATGATGGAAATCCGTGAAGCCCTTGCACATTTTTAAACCGAATGTGCGCCGCGCCAAGGCGAGAGCCACATGTTGAAAAGGAACCGCCTCAACCCGCTAAACTCTTGCATTTTTTTAAACGAATGTGCGCCGCGCAGGCGAGAGCCGCATTTTGAAAACCACCCGCCTTCAATCCGTGGAACTTGTGCAACGAATGTGCGCCGTGCCACGGCGAGAGCATTTTTTTTGAAAACGACCCTCCCTCAATCCGTGAAACGCTGGCATTTTTTCAGGACGAATGTGCGCCGCTCTAAGGCGAGAGCCACATTTTTAAATCGACCCGCCCTCAATCCGTGAAACTTGCGATATTTGAAAACGAATGTGCGCCGCGCTAAGGCGAGAGCCACATGTTGAAAATGACCCGCCCTCCATTCGTGAAACCGTTGCCAAGTTTTAAGCTTCAGAGTCATAAGTGGTGAGGAAGTCTCTGGCGAAACGCCTGGTCCGCCCTAAAAACTGGCCTCGGGGTGCGACAGGGAGAAGTTGTTTGTAAGGAAATGTAATGGAGGAGGAGGAGGAGGAGGAGGAGGAGGAGGAGGAGGACGAGGAGGAGGAGGAGGAGGAGGAGGAGGAGGAGAGGAGAGGAGGAGGAGGAGGAGGAGGATGAGGAGGGTGAGGAGGATGAGGAGGAGGAGGAGAAGGGGGAGGAGGAGGAGGAGCAGGAGGATGAGGAGGAGGAGGAGGAGGAGGAGGAGGAGGAGGAGGAGGAGGAGGAGGAGGAGGAGCAGGAGGGCGAGGAGGAGCAGGAGGAGGAGGATAGTTCATGCCCGCTCATAACACTTGCTGGCGGAGGCGGGAGGGCACGCTCCCTTGGTGGCCTCGGCTCGGGTGCCCTGCAGGTGCGCGCCGTTGTCGTTCCCTGGGGATGCCCATAGGTTTTCGGGCCTCGGGGGTGTCTTCCATCCGCCGCGCGTCGTCGAGAGCCCTGCAGGGAACCCAGAGTCGTTTCTCATTGTTTTTGCCCCCCTGCAAATGTAATGCAACTCCTCCTGCCCCCCCAGGAGAACCAGAACCCACAGGAATGCTAGTCAAATCCCCGAACAATTCCAAGCCGCCTGAGAATCTCGATCCTCGGTCCTCGAAAGCCGCCGACGACAGTTACGAAGCTTACATTACCATTGCAGCTCGTTGTAGGATTGATCCGTGGTGGAGCTTTCGACTCCTCTCCCGAGTGCGTCTGCGGCGGTGGTCGGTGATGTGACCTGGGGCCGGCCACCGCGGGCGTTCTCTACGAGGCCGTCCATCCGAGAGCTGGAGGACTCCCCCAAGTGGGTCGTTAACGAGAATTTAGCTTCGGTGCATGGAAGATCCAGTTTCATGTATCGCGAAGTGGTCATTTTATGCTTCTTTCGTGAGAGCTCGCTGACATGGGTCGCAGTACACTCACGCCGATCATTAAGAGACCTCCCTCTTCGACTTGGTCTAGCGTTTCTTTGGCAGCTTCCAGTAAGCTGGCCCAGTTTATTCGTCTGCTCGGGGCTGTGCGCGCGAAGCTGGCCCAGCGCAGGCGCAAGATTTGGCTGGAATGCTGGCCCAATTTTGTTTTGTTGCGGTCGGGGACTTTGGCTTACCGTTCGCAAGGCGTAGCGTGTCGCTGGGCCCTCCGCCGCGACACGCTATGCAAAGTCCCTGACCGTAGCCTTTCCTGAATCATCGCTTCGGCAGTATTTTCGCTCCGCTCCGCTTTTCCTCGTTTTCGCCTCGTCCTCGTCCTCCTCTCCACACCCGGCGTGGGGGCGTCGTGGGACAACAACGTGTGCCGTGCGTTTCTGCCACGTTTCGGGGCCTGGCACCCATGCCGATCGATCCGCCATGACAAGCAAGAACGCGCAGACAGACGAGCAATCGAAATACAATATCGGGCCTGGAGCTCTTGTCGTGAGAGTTATGCTGCGTTTGCGATCTTCCCACGACGCTGGATCTCGGTGTCCTTTTTCCCCGCCAGGTCATGGAGGAGGATCAAGCCATCCAGGAACGTATGGCCGAGTGGAACGCGATCAAGCAGAAGAAAGAAGAGAGGAGGGCCAAGGACTGGAGGGAGAGAGCGGGCCTTTCAGGTAATGTATGGGGGGAGGTGGGGGGATGGGTGGTGTGGGGAGTTGTCGGGAGAGTGGGAGGGGGGAGGGTATGGGGAGGAGGGCAGGGGAGGGGAGGGGAGGGGAGGGGGATGGGAGGCGAGGGGAGGGTGGAGGCGAGGAAGGGCAGGTGATGGGGGAAGGGACGGAAGGTGAGAGAAGGGAAAAGGGAGGTCCCACACTCCCGACGACCTGACTGTTCCGATATACAGGAGCTCTGAGCATGATGTTTTTTCTCGCTGCAGGTTGTTCCTGGCGGGCCCCAGGACTCGAATCGGGCCCCCGGGGGTCCCAAACATTGAAACGCTGGCATCTTCTTCCAGACGCCAAGTGTCTGGGGAAAGTTGAGCAGGCCTCGTCAGTCGCACGGTGCTCAGTAAATCGGCCAGGAGAGCTGACCCGGCTTTTCTTTTTCCGGCCCAGGGCGACGAGAACGACACCCGCGTCTATTCCGGGCTTCGCCAGGGGAGAGCCACACATTCGCAGAATGGTCTGACCATCTGCTGGGGCGGCTCAGTGATCACGTGGCGTTCGAGCTGGGCGGCCTTGTCGGCGTTGTCCACGCCCGAGGCCGAGCTCTGTGCCGCCGCTCTAGGCTGGCAGGTTACCGAGGGGACTCGCTGCTCTTTCTAACTTTGTCCTCCATTCCAACTGCCTTGAGATCATGATTGATAATCAGGCTGCTCTCACTGCCGCGAGCTTGGGTGCCACTTGGTGCGCTCGCTGCAATGCCGTGCGGGCCCAGCGTCTGTTGGAGGAGATGAAGCAGGGCCAGGTCAAGCTTAACCACTGCCCCACGAAGGAAATTGTCGCCGACGCGTTGACCAAGCTGGCCACTCCCGAACTGGTCAAGGTCCTCATCGATGCTATGGAGGGCAACTCTCTAGCACGTTGGCTGTGCATGCGTCCTCCGTGATACCAAAACGAACTAACTGGAGCGACATCTCAGGCGACGGACCCCCCAGACTCCATGTCGCGTTTTCTCCAGGACCTCGTGCTGCAGCAGCAGGAGACGGAGCAGGATAGCATGCAGTGTTGGCCTGTTTCATTGTCCACCTGACCGTCCACCTGACCGTCCCGCAGGAACCACCCGGTGTGTGGGGGGAGCTCTTGGAGATCATGTACAGGAAGCGGACCCCATACTCTGATCTTTCTGTGCTGCCGCAAGTGAGCTCTACTGCGCGGACGACATGTGAGCTCTGCTGCTCTGGAGCCACGGCATCGCCAACGCGAAGGCACGGGTAGTGATCGACAGCCGGCTTCAGCTGAGCAGGCTTTGCCGTTGGACATCTTCGTTCTCTTCCGGTGCATCTAGGCGCGTAGGAGCATATTGCGGGAGCGAGCATCCTGTAACGTGTTTTGGAGAACGACCTCGTCCTGAAAAGGAGCGCCGCCGAGGAGCAGCGCGGACCCCACCAGGAGCTTCCGAGCGGAGATGGATGGCTCTTGAAAGGGCCATGTGCTGACTTTGGCGTGCGCAGTTTGAACAGCCAATCAGTGAGGATTGGGCGGGACGTTTACCTCCATCAGGGATGTACCATTCATCGCTCTGGGAGGAAGTCTGTGAAACACCGTCGATCGCATCACGATTGTGACGCAGGATCGATCATGATTTCTGCCACTGCTTTTGAGGACAGCTTTCATCTGATCGCCGCGACGTCCGTAGCTCCTTATCGTGAGACTTAATTGATTACCTGTCCTGGTGTTTTAACTTCCCTGGCGTGCTAGTGTAATTTTGGTGCTGGCGCGTTGGTCTAATATCAGTCCCACCGCGCTGGTGTACAAGTTTTGCGCGTCTTCCTGGCTGGCTTTGGCGTGGCTGGGAAGTTTGGCAGGTTCGTTGGCACCCCCAGCTAAGCCTGGCAGTAATTCATCACGCAGGCCTTCCGCCACAGGCTCATCATATTTGATCCTCGTAGTAGCTCTCGGCGGTCGGGGAGCAACCGTCCGATAGCCCAGGTGCTGCAGCAGAGGATCATGGGGCTGAGGGAAAAGGCTTCCGTTGGTTCAACAAGTGCCCCAGTACTCTTCTCCAGGCACGCCAAGCAAATCGAATGCAATCTTCCATCACCTGTGCAACCGCGGAGGGAGTTGGGCAATCCCTGCGCGACTCGGCCGACGAGAGACGGCGACGGCGTCGGGGGACAGTCAGATAGGCCCTCCCCGCTTGGCCTTCCCAAAACCCGCCCACGGCCGACGGCCTCCTCGCAGACCCCCTCGCCCCTCCTCTCGCCTTCCGCGGCTGGGGTCTCGTGCTGCGCGCGCCGCGCCCTCCTCCCCCCCCCTGCCTGTGTCCGCCCGGCGGCCGCCCCCCCTCCATCCCCCCCCCCGCGTCCGGCCCCCCCACTCGCCAGCGTGCATCCCCCCCGCCGGCGCCTCCGCCGCGGGCCGCGCCCGCGGCCGCCGACCCGCGAGGTCGGCCCGCGCCCGCGAGAGGTCGTCGCCGGGCACGTCGTCGTCGCGACGGCAGGCCTGCCAGGGCGGGCCTGCACGGCGGACCGACGCCCCGCACGGGGCGCTCCCCGCAGCACGACGCGGCACGACGGCGTCGTGCTGCGTCGTCCTTTGCGGACCGACTCCCCGCACGGGGCTCCCCACTCACGACACGGCACGACGGCGTCGTGCCGCGTCGTGCCGCGTCCCGAAACCGCACTCGGTCCGCGCCCGGCGGCCCCCGGGCCACCAGCAGGACCCCCCCCGCGGCCGAGCGCCGGCCACAGAGGGTCGCGGTGCCGAGCGCCC